ATAAGTTCAAAAGACTTAAAAGTGACTTTATATTAAATAAATGCCATTAATATTTATATTTTTCTGGTTTTGATGTTTGTGGAAGGATATTATATTACTATTGAAATTATTCTGGATAGTATTATTATAAAGTCATTGAGAATAATCTACTAAAAATAAATTTATAGGGTCTGGGGGGGGGGCGAGGCCCTCCAGGCTTTTATATGTATGGACCCCCTCTAAGAAAAATTCCTAGCTACGCCACTGGATTTGATACATATTTAATAAGTAGAGATTACCAATTGAAAACTAAGTAAATTTTGGCGTATGAAATCTTTTTTTTTTTAATATTTACGTGATACGTGATTTATAGTGCTTATGCCCACCGATGTTAATCAACAGAGCTAAGCTAGGTATTCATCATTTCCATTTAACTGGAACTAATTTAATTTAAGTGAAGAAATAAAAATGTGGAGCCCTCTACATGTTTATGGGCCAGCCGCACATACTTGTACGTACAAGAGTCCGAGAACTGTTATTTAAACGTCCATAGGCTCATAAAAGAAGAGTTGTGCAAAACAAAAGCCTATGCCCGAGAACTAAAGTATAATTTAAATACTTTTAAGGTGGAAGGTAGCTCATCTTAAGTTTAAATTCTTAAGTGTAAATATTTGATTATTTTCATTATTGAGATTTAATGTTCTTATCATTTAAATTTCGATTTATCCTAAAAGAACAAAAATTATTATATATTATTTAACTTCAGGTGTGTTCAATTTTAATATACTAGTTAGATTAATATGGTTTTAAATCTTGATTTTCTATTATTTACATTTATTTTTTATATTATTTTAATAAAAAAAACATACAATATAGATATAGTTTAGAAAAATTTAATATAAGAAACATGTTTAAGAATTATATATAAAGATTAAAATGAATTTAAAAATAGTGATTCCAAAAGCATCATAGGACGTGAGATGGTTAGTAATATAAAAAGGCACATGTACTGCACAGAAAGCTACTTTAATTATGGTATTCTAAATTCAATTTATTTTTCTCGGAGTAACAATTTTTAACAAATATTTAAAAAAATCTTATTCATAGATCTGCCTATTATAATTATGATAAAAAAGCCATAATTTTATTCTCCCCCCCCCCCCCAATGATTTTAAGTATTACGCATTATATAATTTATATAATATATTGTGTAACATATTTAATTTTAATACCAAATTTATATATTTTTACCTTCAATTTTATATAAGTATATTAAAATCAAGTAGGCATTAACTGGTTCGTGTCATGAAAGCGGCCATTTGTCATTGTGAATCAAAACTTAAATATAAAAAGAAATTAATAATAATTAGGAATGTTGAAAGTAAGGCTTTTGAGACCTAAAATATAAAAAGAAAACTAATATATATATATAAAAAGAAATTAATAATAATTAGGAATCACGAAATCAATTTCATAAATTATAACATTATCAAATTAACAAAATTATAAAAGTAAAAATAATAAAAAAAAGAAAAATAAAATACAAAAAAGTTAATAATTAAAAAAGATTCTTTTTGTATGGTAAAAATTGGCCTTTTTATACTCCTTTCAATCTTCTTATAACTAATATTCATAACTATTCAAATATAATATTTTTATCACGCGTTATAATAATAAATCCAAAAGAATTCTTTATGCAAATTAAATATAAAGTACAACAAAATCCAAAAGAATTCTTTATGCAAATTAAATCTAACATTTACAACACCTCCCTACTTAAATTAGACCCAACATTCTGCGAATGATCTTTCTTTTTTCGATCTCGACTTATTCTTTTTAATCTTTGCTGTCTTCTAAGTTCTAACGAAGGCTGACTCTTGTCTAGTATTCTTAGTTTCGAACGACCGTTTGTATCCGATTGTCGCTTGAAATTTTTGGATTCTATCTTCTGTCGCTTGTCACCCTGTTAAACTATCAGCTTTTTATCTCTGTAGGCCACTGACGAACTTGATACACGCCTGTTTTCCACTATCCACGATTGATGAACGATTATCGATGACATCCAGTTTCTTTTCCTCTCTTGTTTTTTACTAGTCTGTCTTAATCTTTTTTACAATTTATCGTAGCTTGTTTCCTATCATTCTCTTGTAATCGATTGGTTGTTGCCTCTAATTCTTGTAATCGTATCTATCTTTTAGACTTCCGGGTCTTCTACGACAGTTTGCCCTTGCTGAGATATCAGGTAATCACATCTAATCTACTTCTACCTAAAATAATTTATTTAAATAACTTCTGAAATATTTTATCACTTTTTATATTTATTCTCAAATATAAACTACCTAATACAATTATACTAATAAAATATATAAATATACCAACTTCATCCTAATGTCTACATTTATCTCCTCTAATCTAATTCTACCTTTAATAAATGGCGTAAATTATACTAAATCTTACATTTATAATACGTAACAAAAAAATATATAATAAATTATAAAAATATATAAAATTCTATCACCCCTTTCCCCTTAATGAAGCTTAGACACATATTTTCATTGAAAAATATACTTGTACTCATCCTTTAGCTATTGATCCTCATCTTCTTTTCAGCCATGTCTATACTAAATTTATATCTAAAAATCCTATTCTACAATATATATCAAAATCTTTCTTTTACTCAAGTCTTTAAAAAAAAACTGCTGAAATATATAAATCTCTTTTCATACATACGTTGTCGAGAAATCAATGACATTTAATCATAAAAGTTTTCATACTCACGTTTATGAACAACCTATTAACTCTAATCACTATGGTTTTCACCCCACGTCTTTGAAGAACTTATGAAATCTAAACATTATAAATTTTCGCACAACCTTTGTTGAAAACTGATATGTATATTTCTAAAGCATGTTTTTCTTTCTATTATTAGAATAATGTTGCATAATTGATCTCAAATCTTATTTATGATTCAAAAAAATAAAAATCCGATCTCTAATTGAGCTCGATTGCGGCATAAATTTTCTAATGACGAAAGCCGTTTCTCTTTATGAAGATTTTTGGTTAATCTACAACCTAATATACTACATCCACATTAATCCTTAAGGCTGTTTTATCTCTCGCAGCCCTTAAAATAAAAGTTAAACGTAAATCTTCAATAAGAATTTAATCAACTATTTTGTAACAATAAAGTTAATTCTAATCTTATTCACAGAATTTTTTAATTATTATATCTTAGCATAATATTAGTTTAATATTAACTTTCGCAATTTATGTTTCTTTTCTTTGTCATAATTATTTCTAGTGATCAATTAATAATAATTCTAAAATCTAAAATATCATAGTCTTTATTAGTTTCAAAATTCCAATGGTTTTTAGTTTACCAGTAACTTCTAAATATAAAATTCCTAATTATCACCTTTAAATAACTAAACACAATTATATCTTATCTACTATGAATGTTACCTTTGTCTTTAATATTAGATTTTATATTCCTATAAACCTAATCTTATTAAAATAATTTCTCTTTTTCAACCTACATTTTAAATATCATCTTGTCAAATTCATATTTTCCTTACCCCTTTTCTGTTTTGAATTTCTTTCTTTGGTATGGAGTTTAGTTGGTATTAGACTGAAAGTTGTAATGGTCCTGTCGCCTCCTCTCTCCAACACCATTGTCACGAAGTGGCCATTTGTCATTGTGAATCAAAACCTAAATATAAAAAGAAATTAATAATAATTAGGAATGTTGAAAGTAAGGCTTTTGAGACCTAAAATATAAAAAGAAAACAAATATATATATATAAAAAGAAATTAATAATAATTATGAATCACGAAATCATGAAATCAATTTCATCCTTTATTCAAAATTATAACATTATCAAATTAACAAAATTATAAAAGTAAAAATAATAAAAAAAAATAAAATAAAATACAAAAAAGTTAATAATTAAAAAAGATTCTTTTTATATGGTAAAAATTGGCCTTTTTATATTCTTTTCAATCTTCTTATAACTAATATTCATAACTATTCAAATATAATATTTTTATCATGCGTTATAATAATAAATCCAAAAGAATTCTTTATGCAAATTAAATATAAAGTACAACAAAATCTAAAAGAATTCTTTATGCAAATTAAATCTAACATTTACAACAGTTCGAATCTTCGTCATGGCACAATTTTTAAAAATGTATTTTTTGTATTTATATGACCCATATTTTATTATCTTCATTTCATAGGCGTGGCCAAGATTTTCCAAAGGGGGGGGATCAAAAAATTACGGGGCTTCGCCTCTAAGTCTATATAGTCATAAAAAATTTTTACGATAGGAGGTTAATTTTAATAAAAAAAGAAGCCTGGAACAAATATGAATTATATTTATATTAGTTTATATAAAATATAATAAATATCTTATATATATATTAATATAAAAGCATGGTAATAATTTATTCCAAACAATTATAAGAAATTTATTTATAAAAAATAAGTAGACATATAGTTGATATTCCTCTATTATATAAAATTAATTACAAAATACTAGGTTAAATTCCACTTTTACAGACATATTTGACAGTTAGAGAATATATTACAGTTAATAATTTAACAAATTTTACTAATCAATGCTCTTTATCATAAATATAGCAACAATTTGCATTCAATTATTTAACGCCATCTATTTATTTTAAGAAAAAATAATATTAAAATTTAATCTTCATATTATTCATCCCACAATGTCTTTAAAAGATATTTTCTGATGTCCTTATCAATATTTTATAGTTTTCTGTAAAATATTTAATTCGTTATATTGGTAAAAATTACTTGATTGTGATATGATAATTGATAAAATTAGATATATTGTAAATCTACGACATATAATATTCTACTATTTGTATTGTGCTATATTTTTTTTTATTAAATTTATGATATAATTATATTTTACTTTTATTAAGATAAATAAATTAAAATTACTAACTTTATAAAAAATTATATTTGATATATTATAATATTGTGAAGTTAATATATCAATCTTAAATGTCACTTCAAATAAATTCCTTGAATCATGATAACATATGAAATATAAAAAAGGCACCTTGTTTTTATGGATTCTCATCTTAATTATATTGATTATTTACTATCATTACCGTATTGATAATGTAAAGGTTTATTTATATTGAAAATATATCACATATTACCCTTAAGATTAAAACGCTTAATACAACTATTATTAATATTAAGAATGAAATACAAATTCAGATCAAAATTCAAAATCAAATTCGTCATGAACTATTCATGTTAGAAGATAAAAATAAAGTTTCAAGTTTGTTAAAATCATTTTCAAATTTTAAACATTTTATTAAGTTGTGCTTCCAATATTGATATTTGCTTGTAATCGAAATACAATTACCAGAACTCTAGATCAATTGCTAAAGTAATTATATATCATAATTGTGATAATTCTCTTATAGGTTTAGGCCTTCAAAAACACAATTTCCTATTTATGTTAGCTTAGGGTGCTTAGAAAGCGATATTGAAAAGAGTTTACATTTTTATCAAGATGAAATCACTATATTAATAGTTAGATTATGTAAAAAAAACCATTTGTAATATAATATTTATTTAGCATACACCATTAAGTTATGATTATAATAGCAAAATATCTTTTTCCTTATGGGGTTATTACAAAATATCAAGGCACTATAATTGGTCATTAACCCAAATGTTTGGTGTAAAAAAATTTGAGGCTGTTATAATTGTTGAAGGTTGATTACAGTAATTTTAATAATTTATTTTTTTAAAATGCATATGAGATATATACACATAATTTAAATATAGTATAATATTAAGCACATAAACACATCTTGCTAAACCAATATTACCTATTCTGTTCATTGTTCATAAAGGTATTACAAATTTATCTGCCTATCTAATGTTTAAAATTGTTTAACATACCCATCTATTTCATTGCAGACTTTTATTCTGTATATTTATACCTGAACCCATTTTCTTCTACATTTTTCTTTCTAGACTATTTAGATAGTCTTGGTGTTCCAGATTATTGTTAAGAATAGATGAATGTTTGGTAGCCAATGACTTAAGGTAATCGAATTCTGAATCAACTTCTGTCGTTTCAAATTTTATTAATTCGTTCGTGTAAGGCAACAGAGAGGTAGCGTGTTGACATAAAATTGCACAGGAGTAATATTTTTGATTCCATATATTCATTTACTATGTTTATAGATTGAAATTGAGGATCCAAAAGTGCTCCTAACTACTAAGTATAAATAATTAATCAAAGGGAAATAATATAAAAAAACTCATTTATTAATTTTAAAATACTACCTGAAGATTGGTTATTGGAAATCTATTATCAAATTTAGTAAGCATATTTTGTCTAAGGGATGCTATGGGAGGACTATATTCTTTTATGATTAAATGATTTATAATTTTACTAAATAAATTCTTTTTGGGATTCAAGAGTTTTTTTTGAAGGTTTTAAGAAATTTAAAAGCTCATGCCAAGTCCCATTTGGAGTTAGATAATTTGAGATCCAGTTTCTCCATTCTAATTAATGGAATTTTTGTTTTTGCCACTCACACTTTCCAGTATTATTTAAATACTATGCCAACATGTAGACAAATTTATTTTAAGGTTTTATGTTTTTTTCTCATATGAATTTTGATTTGCACTATCATCATCTAACCCAAAACGATCTTCATAAAAAGGATCATTATCATCAAAATCTAAAATATCCGATGTAAATGATATAGATTCAAAACATTTCCTATTTTCGATATCTTTTATATTTTCAAAATCAGCGGTTTTAAGATAACTAATTTCTCTCACTTTTTTAATGAGATTTTCTATTTAATTAACTTTTTTTATTCCATCAACTGTCACTAGATTATGTATCCATCCCCCAAACATAAATGATGGTCATATTCTCCTAGACAAACACTTTTCTATACATTGGGTCCTACATCCGTAATCATTTGAATTTTCTTGGACCTTAAGTCAAATTATTTTCAACTTTTTCTATACTGGAAAGAATAGTTTCATCAGTATGTTTTTGAGTGACATGATGTGTCACCAATGTATAAAATACAATATTAAAATTATTATTATTTCGTTAAATGTAAAGGTAATATAATTTCGCCTATGGTCCTGATATCAAAAGTTATAGCACAAAATTTTGGACCTATATTAATTTGTTGACATATATATGTTGTTTTCATTGATAAATAAATACACATCATCTAATCCACTCCTGATGTGTTATTTTATCTGGTAAATCTTTTGTATCTGAAATAATGCCATATTTCTACATAAAAAGTTAATAATAAAATCATAATGCTTTGAAAAATTCTAAATGTGATATTAGATCAGTTTTATTTAAATATTCTATTATAAAATAATTAGATATTTTAACAGTTAAAATAAAAATTAAGATTGCACTATAAAAAATTATAATTAATTTACAAATAACCTTTAGAAAATCTTGCATTCCAATATTATTTATAGAATAGAATGACATTAAATCCTTGCAACACTTGAGAACATAATTTCTTACCAGAATTTATTTTATATCTTTTATTGGGTCAGATGTATCATTTACAAAGGTTTAAAAAATAATTTAAAAAAATTCATAAATATTTTAAAACTAATTAAAAAATTTACTTATGAAAATATATAATTATTTTCATCCTTACCATCTTTATCAAGTACTATTTGCAAGCATATATTGCAAAAGACTTTATCTGCATTAAAACTGGTTCTCTTATTATTTATGCCATTAATATTAAGAATCAAAAATATTTCCATGCAAAAGAAGGTTTTGCTTGTGAGGATATATTGGATTTTATTACAGGGTATTGCAATGCTGCATCCATTATATTTGTTTTAGTCCTGCTATGTTTATATATGAATGATAAAATAAATCATTAATTAAAATTTTTTATGATAAAAAATAAATTTTATATGATAAGTTGTAGATTGCATAAAGAAAACATTGTATTACTCTATATAATACTTGATGGTCTTATATAAAAGATTTTTAACATCAAAAATTTAAAGAATAAAATATATAATAGTATTTCATTATCTTTTCTGTAAATTACTAGCCTAATAATATATCATCCTGTTACAAATCAAATGTTTTATAGCAAATAATATTTATTAATAATTTTAAAAAATAAAATCGCATTTGTTAATAATTTAAAAAATATTTAATATTATTTTTCTTCTAATTACAAAAAAATATGTATCACGCCGCCGAATTTTTACATCGGTGGCGGTGTGTTATATGCCGAGACTTTTTTGGCGGCGGTGTCGCCTGGTCAAAAATCACCGGCGGCGCACAGGTCTAGTTAAAGGTTATTTTATGAATATAAAATTATATAAATTATTTTTAATGATAAATCTATTATTTATATGATAACATTTTACACAATAAATATAAATAATATAAAAATTATATTATGAAATTTAAATAAATTTTTCAAAAAAAGATTCCATTTTATCGGATCGGTTTGGGAAATTTTATAATAAAGGCCGATAACCGATATTTTAAAAGGAAGAAATATCAGCCCGATCCGATAAAAATATCAGTATATCTCTATTTATAATTAATGCTATATTTAGCAAGAATTATTAATTATTACTCTGAGTAATTCCATGACATATCTACTGAAATAACGCTATTTTAGATGACCCTTTTTAAAATGAATTATCGGCATATTAGCTATACAGTGTATGTTTTATAATCAAGATTTTAAAGCTCTAGCCCAAATATATTTTAAGTTATGAGCTTTCAAAGTCCAATGATAGCCTTTTATTTTAACGAATCTCAAAATATTTACCACTGAAAACACATTTATCATTAAGAAAATAACAAAATTATTGTAGAAATATTTTCAGTGACATTGTATTTTGGGTAAAACACACAATATGCATTTTGAGAAACCTGATTTGAAACGAAAAGCAGGGATTAATGTTGATTTGTCATGGAATTCACCTTGGGAATTTTTTTAAATCTTATTCTATTTTTTATTTATTAATTGAATTTCCGGAGGAGACAATTAATGGTACTTCCAGTAGCCTACAGGATACCATTGTTATATCTCCAAATGGTAACCATATCTTTTCTGAAATTATATTTAAAAAAATGAAGCGAATCTAAAAATGTTTGATATTGTTTTTGTAAAATCGTATCTAACCACTAAAAATCCTCATATATACATGTTACAAATCCTCTGATTTCGTTAAAGATTATTATCCTTATCTACATATATAATATGAATATTATGACTATCAGCTTTTGAATATTTGTCTTAATTTTATTCAAACCTGGAAATATCTTGTGTATTTTTAGAGCCATGAATTGTGCAAGCTTGACTGAATCTTTCACGCGATTTATATTTTCTTCATTTAGTCACATATGTAAAATTAATTGCTAACATCGTTTCCTAGCAAAATTATATCGATTTTTAATTTAATCCTTAGCGAAATCAAAGGATTTGTTACATCTATTATATCATGATTTTTGGTGGTTAGAAAAAAATAAAATTTCCAAAGAACAATTCCGGAAAAAATATGGTTGCCTCAAAGAAATAATACTGTAACAGCTAGCGTATTACTCATAAATTTTCCACTGAGGAAATTCTATTAAACACAAAATGGAATAATATAGAAATAAGGCTTTTTCCCAATATATATTTTTTTATTTAATATAACCTAAAGATTTTTATTACATAATATTATTTATTTTTTAGATTAGCTTCTAAATAATAACGAAAGACAATATTATTTATTGTCCTTGCCTCAGAAAATCTAGTTGGCTAGCCCTCTATGATTGATTTTTTTTGAATTCATAAAATTATAAAAAACTAAATAATATTAAATTCTTATTTTCTACACTAATATTTTTACCTAAAATTTATATAATATTAGTAATAAACATATTACTTCTCAAAATATTTTTTATCTAGTAATTTGAGATTATAAAAACCAAGATTACACTCTTATTCGACTTTAAAGACCCATAACTCCTTTTCTATAAGCGAGAGCTTTAAATATTTGATTTATATAAAATTTATACAATTTTTACCCATTTTTAAAATGGTCATCCGAAAACTGAGTGTTCTTATTTATTTTTTTGCTTGGATCAACACTACCACATATGGTTATAATAAAAATCATCGTAATCAAAAAGCTTTCGGAGGCCTAGGCCTATATGCATAAATCCCTAATCCAATAGTTCTGGGTTCGAATCCAACAAGGACTATATTTTTCTTCTGTAGCCACTAGGTGGTGCCGTTCTATGGGAATCGTAGGGGATATTTTGTTCTAAATATGGTCGTCTAAGTCCCCTCTGGAATACAATGTGTGTCGACAGTTAGGGCAAATGAAAAATTATATATTACTAACAGACTAAAGGCTCAAGGGCTAATAAGCAGGTATTGGAATTGTTGGAAAAGCATTTGTCAAAAATAGTATCACCGGATAGCCTTGGTTGTTATACCAAAAGGATTGCAATTTCATTTAAAAGCCCAAAGAATCACAGGGCCCACTTTAATCCTTCAAAATATCAGTGGCTTCTATGCAAGGGAAATAAAAGTACTAATCCCAGTTTTATGAGGTGAAAATCTGTACGACGGAGTATATCAAAAAATGTTAAACGAGTGCCGAGAAGCTTACCCAATCCCAAAATTCGTAATATATTGCGTATTAGCCAAAATATAACGAGATAAAGCCAGCTGCTAAAGGCATCAAAAAAGTGGCGTGTGAAAAATGAGGGGTATCACCTTATTTTACTACAACTAATAATTGTTTTGCAATTTTTCACCAAAACTAAATTTTATATATATATAATTTTTTTACACAATTTTGATTTTACAAAAATAAAAGGTGAAAATTTTATCTGTTTATACAATTTATATTCTAGTTGACATACTGTATAGAACATAGAAATATCTCACAAATTTTTAAAAAATTGTCATGTTTATATAAATATAGAGAGTAGAAAAAAAGATGTATTATATAATTTTCATTTTAATTTATATAGCGTGCAATAAAGGGTCAAGTATTCCAGTTATTTTTGTTCGTGATTTATCTCTGTTGGTGGAATTTTATATTTTAAATTACTTGATAAATTTGATTTATAATGCAGATATATAAATCTATATTTCCAAATTAAATAAAATGTAAGGATTATAATTTTAAAATGAATTATAAATAAATTTAGGCATGTTTGTTATATAAAATTTGAAAGTATCAAAGTAATGCACTGCTTAGCTAATCTCTAAAAAAAAGAAGTGCGCTACTTTTAACACGCTACTTTAAAACTGGTAACCAGTAAAAAAATATAATTTTATTTTCGATCTTATTATTTTTATACAACAATATATTTTAATTATTTTTTTAAAGATGATTTTGACATTTCTCCAGACTTTTTTGAGTATTTTCATGCTACTTATTCACTTTTACAAATGGACCCTACAATATGGTGCATATCTTGCTGGAATGATAATGGACTTGCAAATTTAACCATCAATGATCCTGGTAAATTTTTAAACATTTATTGTATTCATATAATAGTTGTGTTTGGACAAATAAATGTTTTTAAAATTAACAAAAAATAATTCATTTACTTATTAATTTATATTAAAATTACTTATTGAATATTAATGTATTTTTCGAGTAATGAGGAGTATCAATTATAATAGTCTTTAAAATGTTGAGTAGTGAAGGTCAACTGTCCTGTATATCGGTCTTAGATTGGGACCAACTCGATGGGCCGAACAATCTTTTTTCAGAGGACCATGGTCTGGATCAGTTTTAATATTTTATGGCTTGGACTGGCCTTTTATTAATATTTAAGTTTGCTTTAATTTTCAATTCATAAATTTTTAAATTTTTTTTATGTATTTTTAATTTTATATAACTTTTCTAAAACTGAGATACTTTAGTATTTATGACTGTTTTTCTTTTTAGTTCATTTATTTTGCAATAATCTATGAAAACGAAAATTTTGTTAAAAAAAGAATTATACTTTTGAATTATAACTTTGTATTGTTAATTTGGTAACAAAAAATAAAGTATAAATTTTAATATAATAAAATATTCCGTTAAACAAAGAATAAATGGTTCATAAAAAATCTATTATCAATTTAGTTATTCTTTAATTACATTGTCTTATCATTGAAATCGCCATAATAGCTTAAGTCATTATCAAGTAGGACTGATAAAATTTTATTATTTTTTGGCTAATAATTTTATTTTAACAATTGACTAATCATATATTGTAAACTATTATAAAATTCATTTATTATTGCCTTCTAAGTGCAAAAGTACTTTTCAAATTTTTTTACAGATGACAATTTTAATTAGAAGGTTAAAAATTTATCCGTTTGCAATTACCCGATATTATTTAATCATATATGAATATAAAAGGACTATACCTTCACATTTCTCATTCAATATTTTAAAAATGACTCATTCTTTTCGCATTTAGAAAATTGCAAGGTATTGGATCATATTTAAAAAAAATGATCAAATCTTATAAAAAAACGTGTATCCGATATTTATTGGCGCAACTCTATTGTTAATAAATTTGTTTTCCCATTAACGTAAGTATAAAATAAAATATATAGCGTTCTTTTTAACTATGAATTTTATTAATCTCATTTATCAAAACAGCTTTATTACATAGATCTGATTTTTTCCCCGGTCTTGGGTGGCTTTTATCTGAAAAAATTTGGCACGAATTAAGGTCTAAATGGCCTGATGCTTTTTGGGATGACTGGATGCGAAGGCCGGATGTAAGACTAGGCAGAGTATGCATTAGACCAGAAATATCTAGGGTTTACACATTTGGGGTAGATGGAGTTAGTCGCGGACAATATTTTGAAGAACATTTGTCGAAAATAATGCTCAACATTAGGTAATATAATGACAAATAAAACTTGTATAATTTTGTTATCACGAGGTATACATATTTTCACCAGGTTAGAGAATTTCATGTTAACCAAGATATAGTATCAAATATTACTTAAATTATTTAAGTTTTTATACTTTATATTCATTATTTATAATTAATTTTAAATTAAAATACATAAATTACTAAAGAAGTCTTATAAAGATTATTTTTTAGAATGTAGCAATTTAAAGTGTGACTTTTACGTAATGTCAAAAATAGTGCTTATAGGAATTTTGAAGATTCATATGAAACTTATAAAATATTATCTGCAAATAATATCGATAATTATTATTCTATATATCAATCACAATTATGAAATCCCCGTTTTTTTACATCTTACTTACATCCCTTGGTCCTGGGTTTATTTAACTGGTAATTTTTTTTTGCGAATTTGTAAATGATGTTAGGCTTATTCTATGCCCTTTCTTAAGGGCTGCCAGCTTTAACATTGAAACCTAAATCATAAGTTCAATTCAACTCTCTGAAAATTTCAAATCTCAGCAGTTTGCTCCCGAAACAAACTGATTTTTGATCTAATCTTCACTAGCACGTTTAAATTTACACCTAGGCGCTAACATATTGACTATTCAAACATCCATTTATTTTCTCACAATCTTATCTAAATCTTTTAAAATTACTGCTCTTAGCATTATTTCAAAAAAGAAAGTTATGTTTGAAAAAAGGAACGCGTTACCATTACTCATTACCTTATGAAAAAATAACGCGTTATTTAAAAAAATGCAAAATTTTTTAATTTATTTTTTCCACCTATAGAGAATATAAATAATATATTATCACGATAAGTTCCTTTTCAATAATTTTTAATTTGTTTTTCAAAATTTTGACCAGATAAACAAGAACGCTGTTAAACACAGCTTTCGCTAGGCTAAACACGTTCAACTGGCGCAGATAATGGGAGGGTTGTATTATATATATAAAAATTTTAATTGGGGGGTATATATAAGAAATATTTAAAGAATTTTTATTTAAAAAAATTAGATCATTTCACGAATCTTCATTCAGATCCTCATCAATTTTTTTTTAAAACGATATCAGAATTTAATATGAATCAATATTTCTACCTTCATAAGGGCCAGGGCAAAGTTAAATCAAAGATTGACATATATTCTTTTATAATATTAAAGAATATAATAAACATACCTTGATTCTATTAATTTAATAATATAATTATATTATAATTTCGTTATATCGACAATTTATATCAAGGTAAGTTATGATAATAGTAAAAAATATAATATTAGTAAATCACAATAATATATAGTCATTAATTCTTGCTATTTTTTTATTGATTGAGATCTGATTAAATATTAAATTAATAAAATAAAAATTAAGAACTTTGGTGGCTAATCTGAATTAAAAATTCGACTTAAATTTATAAAAATATAGTATATATTAAAATATATTTCGTCTATATTTTTTAAGAAAAAATTTAAGCTAACGCTTTACGTTACCGTTACTCAAAAAAGAAAGCGTTACCTTGAAACAAGACAACGCTCTTTGCAACACTATTTAAAATCCATGATACACCTTTATCTTGTATCACATTTTTATAATCATAATTTGTTTTTATTTAATCAAAATTTACTTGTTTAATTTCAAAAGGAAACATTAATTTTTTACTTGAGATATTACTAAATTCTATCCTAAATTAGTTTCCTTTTGAATAAATCTATATCAATTTATGGATAATTCCATACCAAATCGATAACTTTTCGGCCCGACCTTTTTAATTTCGTAAAAATTTTGCATACTGAGAGAATAACATTAGAAAGCATCGAATCCAAAATTTTAGCCTCCTAGTGCTCATAGTTCCAGAGATATCATCAATAGTCAAAAGTGCCAAAAATGACCTTTTTCCGAAAAATACGATTTTAAAAAATTGAGAATTAAAAAAATAATGATTTTAAATATATAAGTTATATGCCATTTTGTAAATCTATTAAAGGCCTTTTATTAAATATTAAGGATTTTTTTGAAATAATATTGTTGCGGTTTATATTTACGTTATAAATTTTAAACATAAAAACTCCAGGTGTTTCGCTTTTCAAATTTTTTTGAATTTAATATTTTCTTATTCTCTAACCTTATATCTATTCATAAAAAATATTTAAACTTGGGACAACCATGGGTTTTTTAGTTATTGGTATTTAAAAAATAAATATTTTTTCGATGGCGCTCCTTTATAAAATAACGTGTTAGATAATTATTTTTTTAAACTTTTTTCTATTTTTAAACATAGCGAGATTCTATCATTAATATCATGAAATGAGATTATTTAGCTGCGGTTATAATCATTTTTTTTCTTATAAAAAATTTTAATTTTCGAAAATTTTGTAGATATAATAGATAAATTAAAATTCATGAAAGATATTACCTATTTTCGGTTTTTCATTAAATTTAGTTTTTTTGACACCATGATAATTTCGTGTTGCGATAAATTATATTTACGCCTAGTAGCCGTTGATAGGCTAACTATTGTTAAAATATTATTTTTTGGTATGAAAAGGATATCTTGTGCAGCTGGATAAACAAAAGAATTTGCTGGTCCTTTAGGGTGAAGAAAATTAATTTTTACTTCATCTCTAATTACACTCACTTCTTGTACAAATCCTAACCACCAATCGTTTTCATATGCACATGTTACATATCCTCTAATCTCATCGATTAATTGATCGTCTGCGAATTAGAATATAGTTTAGTTAAACAATTATTCGCCTTAAAATGATTATATAATTTTTCAAATTATTAAGAACTAACCTTTTTTGAGCTTTCGCTCGTTCCCCCTTTTCAATGCTAGACTATGCAATCTTTTTTTAACTTCATCACTGCAGATTTTTTTTTAACAATATCAACTGTTTTTTGATTGAGATATTTTTGCAGGCTTTCGAGTTGGAGTTGAAAGAATTTCCTTTTCTTCTAAAACGATTTTGGAATTATATGCCATATGATTATGTGGCGTTGAATCTCGTTTTTATTTTATTTGCGCTCCAATTAGGAGGCAGAATGGTCAACAATTGATATTTTTTTTATTTTTAGATAAATTAGGATATTGTAATTTCATATTATTGAGTAATATCATTATTATCTTTTATATTCAATTCTGGATTGTTAATTATTATATCTGAAATAAGCTTTTTATATTTTCGCTATCCTTTTTTTTGGATAATTTTTTTCGGTTAGTTTTTTTTCTCAATAGGAGATATTCCAATTTCGTTTAAGTTATATTGATTGTATCTATTGATGTTGATGCTGTGTTGATATTATTTACATATTAGCTATCAGAATATTTATATTTTCAATATTTTTTTGTGATAACCGTTTAGGATATTGTGTCATCCACGTCATGACTTTACGCGGGTTCTTTTTATAATTAAAGTGTTTAGATTCTTTAAAAGGAATTTATATTTATACATTATAAATAATTTTAAAAAGAAAAATAATTAATATCAAAATATTTGTAAAATAAAAATTAATTAATATTGGGGCAGGTGAGAACTTGCTTTTATCTTTCAACAATTAATTATCATATTTTCTTGTAGGAGATATCAGAATCTTAACTATCTTTTTAGGAAATTTAATCATTTATTATAAAAACAACTAATTTTTACAAGTTATCAATATAATAATAATAAATAAGCCTATCAAACGATCTATATATAATATTTTTTAATGATAGTAATGCTGAAAAATCTTATTATTTATGTTTAAAAATGAAAAAAAGTTTAAAAAAATAATAATCTTAACAAAACACGTTATTTTATAAATGAGCCCTATCTATTTTTGAAGAAAATATTTATTTTTTGATTTTTTAAATCGTAATAACTAAAAAACCCATGGCTGTCCCGAGTTTAAATTTTTTCTATGAATAGATACAAAAAAATTTGGAAAGCGAAACACGAGGAGTTTTCATGTTTAAAATTTATAACGTAAATAAAAACCGCAACAATATTATTTCAAAAAAATCCTTAATATTTAATAAAAGGTCTTAATTAGAGTTGCATAATGACATATAACTTATATTTTTAAAATCATTATTTTTTAACTTATCTCCATTTTAAAAATCGTATTTTTCGAAAAAAGGTCATTTTTGGCACTTTTGACTATTGATATCTCTGAAACTATGAGTACTAGGAGGCTAAAATTGTGGATTCGATGCTTTCTAATGATATTCTATCAGCATAAAAATTTTTATACAAATTTTAAAGGTCGGGCCGAAAAGTTATCGATTTGGTATGGAATTACCTTTATAGGTGTTCTAAAATTATGTAAAATATTGGTTATATATTACAATTACGGTCATTCTGGATGTTTTATAATACCTAAAAGTTCTAAAAAACAATATTAAAATAAAAATACATTGTCTTTTCAGGATATTTCTATCACTAAAAAGTCTCAAAAACCAACATGTAAATATCAATTTAATAATACATAAGCTTTATAATTAAATTAACTACTTTCGATAATAATAGAAGTTATTAAAACCAGAAAAACTAATTACGAAATATATATTTTTTTAAATCAAATGAAAGAAGGAAAGAAAACGAATGGATATAAAATTAAACCAAAATTGGATAAAATTATTCCTTGCATCAATTCATTCTGAGGTTGTCAAAAAATATATAAAAAATTTTCTTTCAATTTGGTCAATATGCTCTCTTTTTGAACCCAAACATATCTGAGGTCATTAATTCCAATAATATCCTTTATTATTTTTAATACCATGTTTAGTCCTCGATCAATAAGTTGACTTTTCTAAATTGATATTTCATTTTTTAGATTCGTACACTTTAAGCAAATGACCAATTCATTAATGGGACTACTTAAGGTAAACCTACAATATCGAAAAAAGTACAATTTATAAAAATTATCCTATGCAGCTGATTTAGCAAAAATCCTAATGACATGCCTCTAAAATAATAAATAATGAAACTTATAGGAATGAGTTGTTTTTTTTTAAAAAAATGTTATTTTTTATTAATCATGTAAAATATTTGAATTTCATATTATGTACTGAATAAGATATCCAATTTGAATTATTCGATTTTAAAAAAACGAATACTGATTTATTAGATTTTTAGAGGCGTTAACTAGAAGAATTATTTATACCTTTACACCTGAAAGAAATTATTTGTCCAACCATGGCCGAGTTTATTTGGAGATGAGTAATTAATATTTTTACAAAATTGTAATATCAGGCATCGCCATTTCTATAATTAGGCTCGACTGGATCCAAAAAATAATTTTAAAATTGGCCCCATTTGGTTAGTTATATTTTTTTTATTTAGGATAATGATAATGGAGTTAGTCCTCTTGCTAAACTTTATTTTTGATACCCAAGGATGCAGCCACCCGTTTAGGTTTAGAAAACAACCCGATTTGAATCTAGAACTATATGATCCTGATACACCCATTGAACTGATTCGGACACAGACGCTACTGGAAAACCAAAAATGCTATATAATTACAATCGCTTGTTAAAAAATAATATATTTAACAATTTTAAATTTAGAAAAATTATGATCCAAAATTCCTAAATGATGTTTATAATGAATCTGAAACAATTACGTTAGCAAGTTTACTTCGCAAACACCCACTTGAATTAGGTCGAGAGCCTCTAAACCAACGCTTAAAGGATAATCGTTTAATTAAACCCAGCTACAAAATTATTTATCATAATCAATTGCATTTTGAAAAATTAACAAAAACTTTAGGACTTATGTCAGATTATAGGGTATGTATTTTGAAAATTTTAAATTCCACAATATTTATATTAAGTTCTTTAAAAATAAGCCGATTTTAATAAATCTCAAGATTTTGCCAAAAATGTACATTTACTTTTCATCATTTTGTGAAATATCGGAAATTTTTAACACTAGTTAAAAGTAAATTTGTTCAATTTACAATTTTTTAGAAGTGCATATTAATTTGTTTTTATAATCTGTCTAATATGCTCCTTGTTAAACGGCTCAAATTTTAAAAATGGCTAACCCAAACCCAAAATTTTAGCTAAAAATAGAGATTTCCCTCATATTGAATAAATATTAATGAAATCTAAAAGCTTGCGAAATATTATTTTAGTGAAAATCTTAATATAAAGTCAACTAAATCGAGCCGTTTATATGATTATCACTAAATTATATTTTAAAAAATGATTTTGGAAATTTAAAAATATTTACTGTATTAATAGGGTGGCGTTTCAAGAACTTCCTATTTAGGTATAGTATCGTTTGTTCATAGAGGGCATAAATTACATTTGATTCCAATGATGCAAAGCATATTATATGAATAAAATATAAACTCTTTGTTAAAATAATCGATTTTTATTATAAATTATATATTCATTTATACATATGTTATTATTTTTTAAATTGGGTGCAAAATAAATTAAATAAACCATTATTGTAAAATAAATTATTTCTTAATTTTTAACTTTCCTTTGCAATATTTATTTTCTAAACTTTGAAATAAATCATTCATGTCATGTTCCCTTGTTTTTTGTCTTTGATTTATCAATGCTACCAACGATTCGGATTTTAAATTATCTAGACCCAATTTTTTGCCATAAGCTTCTGCTTCTTTAGCCTCTTTTTTGGCCTATATTTTTTTGATGTCAAATATAATATGTCTAAATTAAACTACCTTTCTTTTCCTTTTAGATTTTTTGGAAGGGGTTTCATATTTATAAACTTTGTAGCAAGTTAAATTTTTATTGGCTATTTCTTCATCAATTATAGCCCTAAATCTTGTTTCATCATTGTCATCTGTAGCTTTTGCACACATAACATTTTCCAAAATACATTGCATTTCTCCTTTACATTTTTTGTAAGCATCTATTACATCCAATCGTTCTTGTTCAGAGCCTGTTATAAAATATATGGTAATCATTGACAGATCTCAGTAAAGTTTAAGGAATTAAAAAAGGAATATGTACCTTTTTATACCACTATCATTATTTTATAAATATAAGGGAGATAAGCTCGATTAAAAATAAAAATGGGGATAAAATCTTTTATAAAATAAATTTTTTAAAAATGTGTCCAAAGCATCAAAAAAATTTAATTTGTAAACTTTTAAGAGATTATTTATCATTAGATTTGCTTTTTGAAACCATGTTTAGGTCACAATCTAAACAAAAAATAGTTAACAAACACTAACAAATTACAATAATAAATAACTAGACCATTATACAGTTAGAAGCTAAAATCTAATGAAATCATAATTTTTAATTATTGTCCTGAATAGAATTAAAGATAAAATTAATATTAATAAATAAAAATTGACCTCATAATATTTTAAAAATCAATCAGTTGTTAAATCATGTTAGATAAAATCCCACTATGAATCTAGCATATGTTTTAAACTATTTAGATTATTAAATTAGACTGAAATACCCAATCATCAAAGTATCATTAGTGTTAGCTTATATTTCATGAAATACATATTGTCAGATTTATGTGGAGGTGAATATATCATAATTTAAAATATATGAATTTTATTTATATTATGAACAAAAAAATTGTATCTGAATTTCCTTCAAATTTAGAGGTTTACAGATCTGTTCTTAAGATACTTTGCATATTTATCTTATAAAATAAAAATTTGTAAGATTTACCTTGAAAATTTACTTCAAATTTTTTAATATCATCTAAAGAGATTTTTTTAAAGAGTTGCCTCCAATAAGAGATCCAATCTTCATCTTTACTAAAACTTATATTTTCATCATTTAATATACCTATAAAAATTATACAAATTCAATATTCACGCTAAAAATTTACCAGTTTCATCATATATTTTTCTTTTTTCTGTATCACTTAATATTGAATATATTTTTGATAATATTTGAAATTTGGATGTAGCTTTTTGGGATGACCTTATATCACTTATTTTATCTGGGTGGTATTTTAGTGACAATTGATAGTAAGCTTTTTTAACTATGATTTTTAAATACTATATAGAGGTAAAAAAAAATTACTTTCATTTGGCTTAGACTTTTTATTAATCTCAAAAATTTTATATAGATCAAGTGAACCAAATAAAAGTTTACATTGATTTTCTAGATCACTCATATCGCAAATTACGCGGGATAAAGCTACTGTGGTCAATATATAGCAGACATTGCATAATCCATTTTTATTATTTAAAATTAAAATTTTTTAAGGTCAATATATAGCAGTCATTGCATAATTCATTTTCATTATTTAAAACTTTTTTAAGCTTTGTTATGACAAATCTGTAAGCACAAATTCCATCCAATAATCTTATTATACATGAAACTATTTTTCTTAAAAATAGATTTCATAAAATATTAATTTAATAATTATATAGAAAACAGGGTATAGACACGGAAGAATTCGGTTGACTCTGAACCTCCTTACCCCCTCCCCCCCCCCCATTTCATTAAAAAAATTTTTTTTATAAATATTTATTATCGTAGACCATGAGTATGTAGATGGAAAATATGTTTAGGTAAAAAAATCTCATACTTTTATATTTACTTTTAGAAGAAAATATACTTTCATTTCTTTTAAATTGATAAACCACCTTCCTAATTTATTGTATAGATAAAATAAGAAATTTCTTCATCTATTTATTAAAGTGTATAAAAAAATTTACGAATAAACAATACTATAAATACATTTCATATAAATCAAAAGGGTTATAGATTATCAGAGTTATTAAAGTATCTTGATATTATATTACGTCTGCTAAATACACACTTATAAAAAGACGTATTTTGATATACTTTTTAAACTTTTTCATATTGAAAATAAAAATATTTTAATGCAAAATTCATTTTATTTCATATGGGCATATAATTTAAATAAATATATATATTAAAATATATTAAAACTAATGTAATAAAAAAGATATGTAATATAATATTAAAGTTTTTATATATAAAAAATATATAAATATTCATTATATTTTAGCCCCCCCCCCCCCCCCCCCCAATTTAAATCTATAGATATCAGTTCAAGGTTGTGATGGATATTTTTATAATGTAAATTAATTTAAAAAACAATACCATTGATGCACAAAATTATTTTAATAGATATTCCTCTGACTTTTAATAAGTAAATAATAAGATTAGTGTAAAAAATTTTTCGTGCTTTAAGTATGTTTGTGTTCGAAAACAACAGAGAACCTTGTACATAGGCGTAGCCAGGATTTTTCTAAGGGAGGGGGGGAATTAAAAATTTTCTGGGGCTTTGCCCCCAGATCCTATTTGAGGCTAGCCTTTGGCCCGCTTTTACCCGGCCTTCGGTCGGGTTACCTTAGTCATAAAATATTTTTACAAGAGAGGAGGTTATTTTTGATAAAAAAAATAAGTCTAAAACAAATATGAAATATATTTTTATTAGTTTATATAAAATATAATAAATCACTTGTATATACATTAATATAAAAGCATGGTAATAATTTATTCCACAACCACAAGTATAAGAAATTTATTTATAAAAAGTAAGTAGACATATAGTTGATATCAGCGTCTACATAGCTGATGGGGGGGGGGGGGGTGAAGGGGTAGGAGACAAATGCCTCCAAAATATATTGGCATTTTTGGGGGTTGATATTGACATTTAGGGGGTAGGAATTAATATTTTGAGGGTAGGTATTAATATTTTTGGGAGGTAATTTTTGTTTTGAATTATAATCTTTTTAAATCCATTAATTGATACGATTATGATGGTTATCGTTGATTTTCTAACAAATGTCAATTAAAGTAAAGATATTTGTTAATTAATAAATAATATAAACTTTCTTTGTGCCATTTTCATTTACCATTTTATCCAGTTAATATTTACACATTTCCTATTTGGTACTTTTCTTAGAGGTTAATATATTTATATTATGTTTTTAATAAATTTATAGATTTTTTTTAGCAGGATAAAGTTTGGAGGTAATTTTTTTAGTCATGCTTAAAAACATATACCAACAAGCAAAGAATAATAAAAAACATAATATGTAAAAAATAATTAATTATTCCATTCTAGATGCCTAACAGAACCTTATTTAAAGTGAAATGTGATTATATTAATTGTAAAACTTCTTAAATAAGAAGTGACAAGATACATGAACATTTTAAACATAAACATCCTCATGTAAAGCTAGCTGATATGAAATTTACAAAGGTAGCCATCAAACGAGATAATAATAATTGAGTATCCTTAAATTGTGATATTCCATATAATATCACAAATGGAGTTGAAACCCAGTTGCAAAAAAAGACAATAACATCTTACTTCCGAAAAGTAATATTTTTTATTTCTTATTGTAACTAAAGACAATAAATATTATTGAAAATAAACCTTAAATTTGTGAATTAATAGAAACTGATTTTTTTCACAGTATATTAATATTAAAATAGGCAGGGTATAGAGAAAATAAATTATATATTTTATTATTAAATATTTTTTTAACTGTTTATCACACTATTTTTAGATCTATATAACTTTATAAAGTTCAATTTAACAATATGAATAGGTTTATAATAATAATTTAAAACTAAAGTATTAAAAAAACTTATTAAGTTATTATAATGTAGTAGAATTTTTAATTTAAATCTTTACATATTTAATTGAATTAAGATTTCAAAGTTCTTTTACTTTTTTTTATATAAATTTTATCCTTAAAATATGAATTGGATTCAGCTATTTTCAAAATTTTATCTGTGAATTTCATCCCCTTTATTTACATTATGTGTTATATTAGGTATGTTTATATTATTATCATTGTTTAATTTAGCTATTAGAATTTCTTTAGATAATATACTTTCATCATGAATTTCACAATTTTTATACTAATTTTTCTATTGATACGATTACTATTGTTTTTACAATCATAATATTCTTTTATGATTTCTTCAGGTGATCGCAGTTTTATATTAATCTGCATCTATCATGCCTATGAATCTTTCAAGTATATTTTCAAAATGTTTTAACATGATCTTCCTAACAAAGACATTTTATTAATGTTTATGATTAACGCGTTCAAAATTTGAGGATTCCCTTTGTATTCTACATTCACTTGTGCTGTACCTATCACTTATATCGTCTTGCCATTGTAACCTGATAACTTTATGTTAAACTTCATAATATTTATAATGCCTGTTTTCTCAATCATGTATTCTTGTAGAATTAAAACATTTATTAAAAACTTAATTATAATGTAGATAAGAAAAAAATTACCATTTGGCTAAAATTTTAAAAAATATAGTTTTCATAAGGAAACAAATTATAACCTCTCTTAATTTATAGAAAATCTCAGTTATTGAAGATTCACAAATTGTATTATCTCCTCATTCAATCCCCAGTTCCAGTGAGGCGCTTACTTTGCATGATGAGGTATTTAATTTAAATACGAATTATATGATAACTTTTGAAGAAACTAAATTATGATTATTAGGATATTTAAATATTTCCAACATTTATTAAAAACTTAATTATAATGTAGCTAAGAATAAAATAACCATTTGGCTAAAATTTTATTAAAACATAGTTTTTCATAATTAAACAAATTATACTCTTTATTTATAGCAAATCTCCATTATTGAAGATTCACAAATTGTATTATTTTCTCATCCAATCCCCGGTTCCAGTAAGGCGCTTACTTTGCATGAGGTATTTAATTTAAATAAAATTTATATAATAACTTTTGGAGGGAATAAATTATGAGGATATTCAAAGTCCAAGTCTTATTCAGCTATACAAAAAGAAGCAACCAAATAACCCATTTCACTTCATATTATTTAGGATGACAAATATTTTGATTAATTTCATAATTGCTGTAGGCCCATGTCAGCCATGTACAAATAAATTTTAATATCCTGTTACTCACAAGAGGTTTTAAATAATATATAATTTTCATTAATTTTTACCCATCCGTTATTTCTATACCAGTATTTATTTATTTTTTTACTTTTTAAATAGGAGCATGAATAATATAGATGATTCTCCCAACCTCAGAAATTGGCTATCCTATAGCACTACTTTAAACAAAGTATTTTGTCTAGTAATATAGCCTTTTGGGGTTCTAATTCGAATGAAGGTAATTTTATGTGCCTCATAAAATTAATGGCAAAAAGGGTCCAACTTTACGTGCATACATGGATAACAACAAAAAATTGCGGAGAAAAAAATCAGATAAAATTTCGAGATCTTATATAAATTTGAAATCATATAGCCACGTGAAAAAAATAACTGGAATTATTAAGATAAAAATAACAAAAAGCATTTTTCAAAAAATTAAAGAGAATCATGCCTATAGCATCATATCAGATGAAACATATGATGTTAAAAAAGAATGCATAGCTTTGCTTGTACAGTTTATAGAAGATGATCTGCATCCACATCCTGTAGAAAGGATCATACATGTTTTTACAACATCAGAAACCATTGGGGAAAATATAAAGAAACATATTTTTTCTAAGTTTAATGATCTTGGTCTTCCTCTTGATTATTTGGTTGGACAAAGGGAGATGAGTATACAAAGGAATGCAGGCTTTAATATTGAAAGAGGCTTTAAAAGCCATCTATATTTGGTGTCATGCACATCGGCTAAATTTAGTAGTTGCTCATGTTTGTGGATGCAAAATTGGAATGAAAAAGGTAATGGGAATATTAGATGATTTATATAATTTTATGAATTGAGTTAGACGTCAAGGTGTGTTTGTTAAATATCAAATGAGAAAGTTCAAGAAATCTCATAAAAGAATTAAAAACACGACAAGGTAAATTAAAAGAAACTATTTAAATTACTTCTTTAAATTAATTCTTTTTTAAATCAAATTTATTATTATCATTTCTTTATATCTAAAAACATAGTATATATATATAAAAAGTTAATTGAACATATTAAACAATCAACGTTAATATATTTTAAAAATAAACAATATTCAAATAAAACTAAAATTTATAATATAAGATTAACTATCAAATTTAAGATTAATTCTTTAAATTTATTTAAATATATGATCAATCAACATTCCCCCTCTTCTACAAAGAACGAAGCTTCTTCTCAGCAGTCATCGAGAGCTTGTTGTACCAGAAGTTTTTTCCCGTTTCGATTGTACTCGGTTTTATCTTGGAGCGCATAAGTCTCAAATGTTCTCGTAGGCTTGATTCTATCACGTAGGTTTGATAAAATCGTTTATTAGAGTTGCGTGAGTTTGTACGTTTATTGTAGGCTTGAATCAATCGCGTAGGTTTGATAAAATCGTTGAACGTTATCGTTGGCTTGATATCCTTATCATATGTTGTTCACATTTCTCAAAATTGTTATTATCATGTTTCATAATTAATCCAGTCGAATATTGGAATTTGGAATAAATCGGAATATGTAATTTGGAATAGTTGATCAAATCAAATATATGAATAATATGCACGAATAAAATTTTGAATTTCGGAACAATAAAATATGTAATAAGGAATGATAATTTAAGGAATAAGGAATAAAATCCAAAATAAGGAATGATAAATGATTATTATATTATTTTTTAGGTGTTAAGTTAATCATAGCGTTTTATACTTTTAGCGTTTTACATTTTTTGCGTTTTACATTTTTTAGCGTTTCAATATTTTAGTAGCGTTTTAATATTTAATTTATTTTTATTTATTTTCAATCTCCGAGGTTAAAATATGCAAATATTATGCACATTTCCCTCTCTTAAAAAAATTTAAATTTCACACAATATTTTTTTAAAATAATGATGTTTAATTTTTACATTGTCTTCAAAAGCTTTATTTCAAAAACATTTTTATCATATTAAGTATTACTTATAAGGGTTATTTAAATCAATCCCTTTTAATTCATATGTTTTAATTACACTTTAATATATTTAAAATTAAAGTTTTATCTTCTTGTTTAGGATTTATAATGGTTTATATTTAGTTATATCTAAGAATTCATTTTTAGGATTAGTTGTTAATTTACAACAATTGGTCATCATTCAAGAAATCAAAAAATAATATTTCACTAATAATTTAAGTAAATAATTTTTTAAAGGCTTTTTGTGTGTTCAAATATATCCATTATGATTTTACATTTTAGTGATTTTATAAATTTATAGCATGCCTTTATCCTGGCATAAAATTTTAATTTTTAATAACTTTTCTTCTTACGTGGATTAGAATAATAAGTAATCATCATTGGTCTCACAAAATAGAATTCATAACCTATCGTTCAACTTCCATATCAGTTCTTCCTAGGTTGTCACATTAGGTTAGGTGCTGGTTATCATATTCCAGTCCAACATCCAAAGCCGGGACACCATGAAGAAAGAAGCTTTTTGCATGAAAGAACGTGCTAACATCTCCATAGATTAGGCATTGGTCATATCAATAGATTATGCAGTCACAATAAATAAGGTAGTCATAATAGATAGTCATCTCCATAGGTTACGCAGTCTCCATATAGATAGTCATCTCAGTAGATTAGGTAGTCACAATAGATAAGGTAGTCATAATAGGTAGTCATCTCCATAGGTTAAGCAGTCTCCATAGGTTAGATAGTCATCTCAGTAGATTAGGTAGTCACAATAGATAAGGTAGTCATAATAGGTAGTCATCTCCATAGGTTAAGCAACCTCCATAGGTTAGATAGTCATCACAATAGGTAGTCATATAAATAGAGTCATCTCAATGGATTAAGCAATCGTCACAATAGGTAGTCAAATCAATAAATAAGGTAGTCATCAATTTCAAATTTAATTTAATTTATACTTTTTTATTTTAATTTTAGGCAAATTTTCTATATTTTCTTCTTTTTTTTTTTAACAAAAACGTAACGGGGCGCCATAAAAGAAACAAGAAGTTAACAAGTTATATTTATTCTAAATAAATTTTTTTTTTACCTTTTATAATTTTGTAAATTTTGATAAAATTTTGACTATCGAAAAGAAAAGTCAAAAAAATTTTATATGTCCTTTTATCATCTCCAATATCGAACGACGAATTTGATAAGTAATTCCTTTACTTTTTATTTTTACAAAAGAATTCAAGGTAAGGATATTTTAAATTTTATTTTTTTAAACTTTTATTATTTAACTTTATTTTATTTTTTAAAAAAGAAAGAAAAACGAAAAACGTACCACCGTAACCGGGGCACCATAAAAGAAATTAATAAAAGATTGCGAATCATAACTGACTAAAAAATCGATCAATAAAGGGAATGTCAAGATATATCTACGTAACGACGCCAAACCGAAAATCATACCACCTAGACGGTTACCTTATTCAAAGATAGACGCTGTAACTAGAGAACTTATGAGATGGATAGGAGATGGAGTCATTGAGCCTGTAACAGATGTACGATGGTCAAGTCCGATAACCGCTGTCTACAAGGATAATGGGAGCGTTAGGGTTTGCGCCGACTTCAAAGACACTGTCAACCCAGCCCTTGAGGACTTCAGATACCCACTTCCAAGAATAAATGATCTTATCGCTAAGCTCAAGGAAGGGAAGAAGTTCACCAAGATAGATTTCAAGGATGCGTTCCTACAAATTCCCATCGATGAAACCTGCAGAGACATATTAACTATATCTACACACAGGGGGTACTACCGGTTTACCAGACTTCCTTTTGGGTTAAAGACTTCATCTGCGATTTTTCAACAAATTATGGATCAAATTTTCAGTGACATGAAAGATGTCATATTTTATATTGATGATCTACTAATTACGTGAAGTAGTGACGAAGTTCATTTCAATAACATAAAGAAGGTTTTTGAAAGAATACTATCTCATGGTTTAGTGCCTAATTTTGCAAAAAGCTTATTTTTCAAAAAAAGTCTAAGGTTCTTAGGACACGACATCGACGCCAAGGGGATCCACGCCAACCATGACAAGATCGAGGCGATCGTTAAAATGCCGGAACCAAAATCAGCTGCGGAATTGTCAACGTTTCTAGGTATGGCCGGGTACTACAGAAAATTTTTGAACAACTTCGCTGAAATAGCTGATCCTTTATACAAGATTGTTAACAAAGAAAAATGGGAGTGGAATTTAGAACACTCCAAAAGTTTTGATGATCTAAAGACATTGATTAGTCTTCCTCCAGCTTTGACGTACTTTAATCCTGAACTACCTATCGGAATTGCGACTGATGCATCTAAAAGAGGTTTAGGAGCTGTTTTGTTTCACACTGAAAAAGATGGCAAAGAAAAACCGATAACTTTTGCATCAAGAACTTTAGCAAAATCCGAAACAAACTATACCAATATTGAGCGTGAAGCTTTGGCCATTATGTTTGCTATCAAGAGATTTCAAGAATACTTGATAGGGACTAAGTTCACTATTATAACGGATCACAAGCCGCTAATCCATATTTTCACCAAAGGGCTCAAAGATAATAGCACCATGTCATTAAGGTTACAGAAGTGGAGTATAATTTTGGGGGGTTACGACTTTAACATCAGATATAAAGCTGGTAAATACAATGTTGTTCCCGATTGCCTCTCAAGACTACCACAAGTAATTGATGATGACGTTATTGATGATATCGCGATTATAAATGACTTTGGCGATATACCTCTTAGTTTTGACCGAATACGTGATGAAACATCCAAAGATTTTGAATTATCTCAAGTTATGAATGACATAAGAAATAATGTGCCTATCCAAAATAAAATTTATGAAAATATTGAACAAGAACTAAGTATCATTAAAGATTGTCTGTACAAAAGCGACAAAATAATAATTCCGTCAAGTCTGAGAAAGAACGTACTGAAGGCGTTACACGAAGGTCATTTGGGAGCAG